AGAGTGAGACTCTGTCTCAAAAAAAAAAAAAAAAAAACAACCAAAATAAGGAAAAGACATTTTCACTTCCAAACATTTTAGTAATAAACAATAATACTTACCAGTACTTTGTTTTCAACTTTGTCTCCCTTAACTTCCAATTTTACTTTCTTCTTCACTGCAATTTTTATCTTCCTGCCAATAACATCCTTTATGCTTTCTGAAAGAAGAGAACGGTTTCATTACAGTCTTTTATTAATAAGAAAAAAAACACTAGAGGGAGGAGAGAATATTTGGAGGAGTATATCTGATAGTTTTTATTGTTGTCTTTTTTGTTTTAATAGCTGTCAAGTATTTAATAAACATCTACTTTGTGCCTTGTATTGTGTGCTCACATGCTGAGGTAAATATAAAAGCATGTAACATAATACCAGCCCATGCAAGACATGACATAGTCTTGCTTGGAAAACAGGATACACGCATAAGAAAAAAAAGCAGCAATGTAGAACAGTATGATGCAGCACTATATTGTATGAAAACCATACACACAAAAGAAATTCATAAACTCCCTCAACCCTTGGCTGGTTACTTCTGGTCCCCAGCAGCCTTTCAGTTCATTGCAGGGCCATACAAATATTAGCATTTTCTATGAATGCCTTGACATGCTGGTTGGGGAATATGACAAAGAACCAGAACTGGACCAATGATTTAGCCAGAGAAGGACACTTCCAGCCATCTGTCCTTTCAAAATTATCACTGCACAACATCCCAAAGGGTGGTCAAAGGCAATGGAAAAGGAGAAATTGGGAGAGAAAGATCAAATTGAAAATTCGGATGGTGGTGGGAAAAGTTTTCCTAGGACTCCAATGAGTACCTCAAACAGAACATGTCCCAAATCAAACTCATTATCTTCTCCTCTAGCCACTAATGAAGCTAGAAATCTTGCTTACTGACAACTCCTTTCTCTCAGATAGGAAGTAAGTTTCCTAAAATCTACCTTCTAAACAGCTCCTGACCACCTGGGCATGATTGCATTGAAAGCCTCAGAATCTCTCACCACAGCCTCTAACCTATCAGCCCACTGTCACCTCCATAAACCACAGTAACCCTTCCAAAATCATGAGTATGATCAGGTCCATCCTGGTCTATGAGTTGCAGTCATTTTTGGATGAACCCAAACTTCATAGCATGCCATTCAAGGTCTTTCACATTTTTCCAGCTTAACATCTCAGCACACACCTAAAGATCCAATCGTCCCTGATATCTTAATCTTTTACCGCAGGATTCTATATATTATTCTCTTTCCTGGAATGTCCTTTCCCTATTCTCTTACTGGCTATATTCTACTTACCCTACAAAATATAGCTCCTTCCTGTATGCTCCTATAGCTCGGTATTCCGTATTGTAATCATTTTGGTTCATTTACATATTCAACAAATACATGCACCTGTGTGCCAGGTACTCTACTAAGTGCTAGATAGAAACGGACTCTGCTTATCACGGGAGTTTACAATCTAGTGGAGGCCACGGAGGGAATGCTACGAAATAAATCTTCACACAGTACCTGAGGTCATGGATCAGGGAGCACATGAAGGCTTCAGGGAAAAAGTAATGGCTGAGCTGAATCTTGAATGCATAGGAAATAGACCACTGGTTTCCAAAGTGGAGGCTACAAAACAATCCACTAAGATGCAGGAAGAAAATAGAAATTTTACTTCTATTTACAGTACGTTTTTCAGGTTATGTTTTAGATTATACACACTAACTGAAGTATGTTATGTAGTTTAACAAATATATGTATGTCTATTAGGGGGTGATCAAAATGTTCTTATTGGGAACACACGATTACAAAAATTTAGGGCCACTAAGTTAGATAACAAAAGTGAAGAAGGGGAGAAAAGGACCTTATCAGCAGAGAGAACGACAAGGAAACCTAAGAAAGCACAGCCTGTTCAAGGAATAGCAATGAGACGGAATGTTTGGGGCAAAGGCACATGTGCGGGAGCCCACTGCACTGGGAGTTCTTTACGTAGTTCCTATCTTATCAGAACTCGAAACAAGTACAGGCTACTCCTCCCTCTCCTAAAAAAAGAATTGTGGGAAATAGGTATCTGAAATTGACTTAAGAATATACACAGAAGGAAAGAGACTGGGAAGTCATATACCAAAAGATAAAAAATAGGCTGGGCGCGGTGGCTCATGCCTGTAATCCCAGCTCTCTGGGAGGCCGAGGCGGGTGGATCGCTTGAGGTCAGGAGTTCGAAACCAGCCTAAGCAAGAGCGAGACCCCGTCTCTACTAAAATTAGAAAGAAATTAATTGGACAACTAAAAATATATAGAAAAAATTCGCCAGACATGGTGGCGCATGCCTGTATCCCAGCTACTCGGGAGGCTGAGGCAGGAGGATCGCTTGAGCCCAGGAGTTTGAGGTTGCTGTGAGCTAGGATGACACCACGGCACTCTAGCCCGGCAACACAGTGTGACTCTGTCTCAAAAAAAATAAAATAAAAAATAGCTTTCCCTAAGTGGTAGTATGGGTGACTTATAATCTCCTCCACATTTAAAGTTTTTCTACGAAAATCCTGTATTACTTTTTTAATCAGAAAGATACACAATACATTTTTTAAATGTCTTAGAGGATTAGCTTAAGTAAATATACTGAGGTTTTCACATAGATGCCATTTTGAACTGATCAGAACAGAGCTCTTATGAGCATTTGCAATTAGAGAGCAAAGCAGGTGCAGGAATTTCCCCTATCACACCAGTGGAACTTGATCATGAAAGGCCCAGAAAAATCATTTCAGGCGTATCACAAAAGTGTATGTCACTGTGTTGAAAGACATATGACATAGGCAATATTCAACACACACAAAAATTCTATTTCAAGATAAGGGTCAAATTTAACTATTTATTTTGAGAACCATCAGTATAAACCAGATACCTTATCTCCACTCCATCCTTCACCCTTTCACTTGAGTCTACATAATTACCTAAACTTCTCATTACCAGGCTCAAGGACGACTCATTACACAAATTAAAAACCTGCCACCCTCTTTAGCTATCCTTATCCCCTGCCTGACCAGCCAGGCAAGCCCTTCCCTAAACCCTTTCTCAGGACCTCCCTCTGGAGGCATCTTCAGAGCCTCTGGCATTTGTTTCCTCTTCCAGTGGGGTGTTGAAAAGGTCTCGGCCTCCAGAACCGGATGGGTCACTCGCTCCAGCAAAGGAGCAGACTCCACTTAGTTGGGGACATAAAAGAGGACCTGCTGGGAGTATGATGGGGTATGTGTGTGCGAGTAAGAGTGTGTGTGAGTGAATGAGGGAGAGAGAAAGAATAACTTCATACTCCAAATTCTGATAAAGGGTCAGATTTGTTTGTAATTCAGCAGAAGTAGAGGCTTCCATACAAATCTAGCAACAGCTTCTTTACATCAAGTTTTAACCTGCTGAGTTAACAGTCACTAATGGAAGGGTACACACACATTCCTCTGAAGTATGGCTAAAACCAGCAACAGAGGGCCAAATTTCACATAGAGATAAATGGGGGCTTAGAACTTCCTCTTGTTGTAAGCACCGATTAAACAGCATCGTCCTGAGTGCTCAACCTGTGCAGTGTGCCAAGGATGGTACAGCAGGGAATATAGGTCACTGGGGCTCAAAACACATCTGAACACAGACTCACGTACCTTGTTACAATATTACTACACACACACACACACACACACACACGCACGCTTAAACGCTAGGTTTTCGAACACTCCTCCATCCTGTTTTAGCTCTGCCATTTTAACCCTCCAGATAATTAAGTTAAATCCCAAGACTTAAAATCCAACCCCCCCCCGCCCATAAAAAAAAAAACCTTAACGGACTCAAACAACGGGTCACCTTGTACGGGATACCACACACTGGTCCCCTAAGAGATCCGGGTTGGGGAGAATCAGTAGGTTAATCATTATTAAAATAAAGCTTTTATCATTAACCCTCAATTTCCTGGCCCGAGTTTGCGTCAGCGTCGTAACCCTTTCGCTCCCAGCTCGCTACACCAAGCCACGCCTTGCCAGGCCCACTCAATTTTACCAGACCAGCTCCTCCTCCCCCAAGTCTGTATGTCAGAGGGACACCTCCCACGGGGCATTTTCCGGAGGTTGCCTGACACATGCCGGAGACGACCTACTGTGCGCTCGCCAGCTGTCCTTCTGCTAGGTTTTCCCGGACTTTCCCGAGTCTGGGGCTGTGGGCTGGGTTCTTCCCGCTTCCAGAACTCCCAAGACTGAGGTAGCCCGCCCCCTTCTTCCGCCAACCTGGACCCCACATCGGGGCTGGAGGAGGCGCCGGGGGCTCTCAGCAGAGACCCTCCGGGGGCCTCTGATTTCTCCCCCACGCCTTCCCTCTCCAGACTCGGCTCGAGGAGGTCGAATGGGAGCAAACTTCCCGGCGCCCCCCAGCGACCCTGCCCAACAGCACTCCGACCTAAGGCGCGGCGAGACTTCGCGGGACCTGCGGGAAAGCAGAGGTGGGAAGGGAGGTGGAGGTGAGGAGTAAGCAGAGGAAGATGGAAAATTAACAACCAAGCGAATCTTACCTATCAACTCCCTGGGAACATCAGCGCTCTCTTCGGTCATGGTTGCCCTCGAAGTGCGGGGGGTACTGCAGGTCTAACTCTGATTTACGGCCCCCCGCTCTTCCCCGAACCCCTCAATTTTTTGAGAGGCAGATGCAGCTTGCAAATAAGAGTGGGCAAGAAAGGGGGGGAGCGGAGATACAATTTTGCCGCGCCCCCGCCCCACCAAAAAAAAAAAAAAAGAGTTGCAAATAGGAGGTGGGTTTGCTGCTGCAGCTACATGACGCCTCCTCGCAGTTCCCGGCGGCGGAAAGGGGAGCGGACAGGATTCCGAGCGGGCGCGGGGCGGCTGCGGCGCCTGCTCCTCCCGGCTCGCTGGTCCGCGGCGCAGCTCCCGCCCAGCCTCGGCGCCGCACCTAGGGCCCTAGGTAAAAGCGGAAGGCGTGGGGAGAGGGCGGGGAGAGCGGCGCGCGGCGGGGGAGTAGGAGGCTTTCCTTGCTCTCCTGCCGGGCTCCGGCTGGGCGGGGGCAGCTCCGGCCCTCCTCCTTCTCCTCCTCCTCCTCCTGCTCCTGCGTTTCCTCCTCACCTCGCGAGAGCCAGCTTCAGCACCGGTCCCAGGCCGGGCTCAGGGGCCGGGGTGCGGGGTCCCCGGTGCGGGGCGCACCCCCGGGAGACACTCACCGCGGACCTGCGGCGGCGGCGGCGGCGGCGGGCACGGCGCCCCTTCTCGCTGCCTCCCTCCCAAACCGCAAAAGCCCTGCGTCTGGAGAGGGGGCGAGGGAGCGTGAGAGAGAGCCCGAGAGCCATCTGCTGGCTGCGAGGGAGGAGAGCCGGCTGAGCCCGGGCTTCCCGATTCCGTCCCCACCTCCGGGCCGGCCGAGGGACCTGAAGGACGGGAGACTGCAGATTCTGCAGACTCGCCTGCACGGAAGCTGGTTTTTCCAGGACCCTTTTACGCACTTTTTCAATCCTTCCCGTGGCATGTCATTTCATCAGAGTTATTAATTTTCCGTTTCTTGTGAGCAAGAGCTAGACGAAACCTGTAAACACTGACCATATGGTGAGAAGACACTTTCGTGTGTGTGCTCAGTGGGTGCTCTGCAGCCTCCGCCCGCAATATCAAACATTCGAATTGGGAGAGCGCCTTGGAAAATGCCTTCTACTCGCAGTGGAGCCTTTTTTATCCTCAGGACATATCTGGGGAGCTGAGTATTATTCACATAAGCCGGAATAAGCCTGCTGATAGATTTGATGCTACCTAACCCTCTGACTTCCCTGAGCTCTCCCCGGAGGGTGAAGTTTCAGGGCCAAGAATACATATGTGTGCTTCCATCGCTGTTTTATCGCCTAGCGGCTGGGAACGTTGCAGCCTGTCGAATCGGGTTCTGCTTATAAAGGACAGAAAGAGGGAAGGGAGGAAAGGAAAGGAAATCCCACGCATTTGGTAATCCAGTTTTAAACACTGCTATTGACCTTGGATCCCTGATAATAATCTTCAGCCTCTCTGCCAGCCATTACCTTTATGGAATTTACCAATCTGGCCCCTTCTCACCCTTCTAACCTCTCCCACTTCCCACTCTATTACTTCCAGACTCACTATTTACTTCCTCCCTTCCTCTTAAAGGCCATCTGTTTCTTGTCTGTTTTCAAACCCATCCCACTGTGTACCTTTTTTGTAAAGATTTTCCAGGGATTTTCAGATCACTGTGATCCCTAAACCACTAGAATATATTGCCGGAAACACTCTCATAAGCCCAACCATAGGGTGCCTTGTGACGTTACTTGTGTATTTGTCTAGTTTTACTATTTAACTCTTGCACTGTTCCCTGAGTTTGGGTTTTTCTACCCAACTAAACTGTAGGCAGTTTGAAGGCAGGACTTTATCTTGGATTTTTGAACTTCCTCAACAGCCTTGTGCAAAGTAGGTTTTCAATAAACATTTGTTAACTGATTTTAGAGCTTTGGACCTGAGACCCCTAACCATTTGTTTCAAAAGTTGGCAATTTTTTTTTTTCCCCCTTTTTTTTTTTTTTTTTTTTGCTGGAGTGCAGTGGTGTGATCATAGCTCACTTCAACTTTGAACTCCTGGGCTCAAGCAATCCTCTTGTCTCAGCCTCCCAAGTAGCTAGGACTACAGGTGTATGCCACCTCACGCTGCTGTTTTCGTTGTTGTTGTTGTTTTGGTAAAGACAGGTTCTAAGTTATTTTGCCCAGGCTGGTCTTGAACCCCTGGTCTTAAGCAATCATCCTGCCTAGGCCTCTCAAAGTCCTAGGCAAAGTTACAGGCATGAGCCACTGCTCTGGCCTAAAAGTTGGCAACTTGGCCAAGCAGGTGGCTCACACCTATAATCCTAGCACTCTGGGAGGCCGAGGCAGGAGGATCACTTGAGGTCAGGAGTTCAAAACCAGCTTGAGCAAGAGCGAGACCCCATCTCTACTAAAAATAGAAATAAATTAGGCAGGCAACTAAAAATAGAAAAAATTAGCTGGACATGGTGGCATGCACCTGTAGTCTCAGCTACTCAGGGAGGCTGAGGCAGGAGGATCGCTGAGCCCAGGAGTTGGAGATTGCTGTGAGCTAGGCTCATGCCATGGCACTGTAGTCTGGGCAAGAGAGCAAAACTCTGTCTCAAAAAAATAAAATAAAATAAAAATAAAAGTTGGCAACTTCTTTAAGCTAGACACTTCCTTAGTGCATTAAACATCTCTTTTCTACACTAAATGGAAATTAACATCTCAAAACTGTCTTTCATTCAACTGTGTGTGTTAGAGGACTTTTTTGGCACATCCAATGAAGTTTCAGAAATAGCCCTGAAGGTTCCAAACCATGTGATAACTTGTGAAAATAAGGACAAAAGATTTTTTTTTCTGTGGCCTGGGGTAGTGGAAAGAATAAAGGGAAGGCTGTATGGCAGTTCTGTAATTCAGTACTCCTTGGCTTCTTTTAAAGGAAGCTGGGATTTCAATAAAAGAATCATTTTCACTGCAGCAAGATCCTGATTGGCTCCTACACCTCTGAAGAAATGGATTCAAATGAATCTCCTATCACAATACTGAAAAATGACTGATTTTGGAAATCAAAGTCATTTATTTCTTAGGTGCAAAACTCAAATATGTTTCAAAATACAAGTAGAGAACTCCAAGGAGCACTGCTTATAAAGCTGTGAAACCCAACAAGCAGTAAACATCCCTAGCACGGTAAAACCTTGGTGCCAGCTTAGAGACTGCAGTTCGTACTCTGAAATGTGTGCTTATTAACTGAAATCTGCCCACTTCTCCGAATGCAAAAACAGACTTTTCAGACCATACCTGCCCTCCAATTTCCAACTTTTAAGTTCATCCCTGCTTATACATTCTGAATTAAAATGGTGATCAAACCACTATATTATACTGATTGCTATTGCATATGTGATTAGCCATAACTTCATCTAAGTAAGTGTTTAAGCATTACATCTGGTACTGGTAATCTGAAATCTGCTAGTCAGAGAATCTTTACTGCACTTGAACTTTTAAAATGTTAAACACAGTGGCAACAAATTTAATATATACTGAGTGACAAAGTAGTTTTGGAAAATTATACATGGATTTTTTTTTTTTTTTTTAAAGAAACGGGATCTAGCTCTGTCACCCAGGCTGGAGTGCAGTGGTTCGATCATAGCTCGCTGTAACCTAGAACTCCAGGGTTCAAGTGATCTCCCACCTCGGCCTCCCAAAGTGCTGGGATGGAATTTTATTTTTAATTCATGGGCATACATTCATATCTATATAGTATATTTGGTAATACATTATAGTGAGAAAACACTCTCTCAATAAAATAATTTGCTGAAAATACTGAATATCTCTATAATGACCCAACACACTATTATTACAACCATATCATATAATGATTAAACTCATGGATACAAAACAAACAAAAAAGAAAAATTCAGCAAGCTAACAAAACAAAACAAAAAAACCTCACACACCTAGGTCAGTCTCTGATCTTGCCTACTGCATGGAGAACTGGTTTTAAAATTAGAAGGTATTCAGAAACGTGGGAACCAACAGCATTTCAATCCTCAAGTAATGATTTTAAGACTAACTTTGCAAACTCAATACTCACTCAGTAACTACCTACCATTAGTTAAGAGGCCTTCTTAAGGAAGTGTATATTTATGAACCTAATTAATGTAGACCTTTCAGGAGAAGTATGCAGTGCAAACTAAGCTTGCAAACAGCTCTAAAAAAACTTAGTTTATCTCTGATTAGAAGACAATGGGGGCCCCTGTGCGGTGGCTCTTGCCTGCCTGTAATCCTAGCACTCTGGGAGATCGAGACAGGAGGATCACTTGAGCTCAGGAGTTCAAGACCAGCCTGAGCAAAAGCAAGACCCTGTCTCT